AGAAGACATCTGAAGGCAGCCCTGTTCAGGGAAGTTTTTAATTGTTGATGTTTTACTGTGCTTAGCTGTTTATAGTTTGTTGGAAGCTATCCAGAATTGCTGAGGCAACTCAATCAGAAAGGTGGCATATAAATAATAAATTGTTGTTGTTGTTAGTTTTTTTATGCCCTATCTTTTCCCCTTATGGGACTCGAAGATATTCATACCATTATCCTTGCTTCTCCCTTTCCTCTGATTGCTCTGTGGTCTCTTGAATTCTGAAATATAAATTGCAACCTCCATGGGGCAGAGGCTTGTTGTTGTTGTTGTTATTTTGCTTAAATTGCTATACAATCAGTCGGCCAATTATGCAACTCCTCAAGAGCTGCACTGTGCCCCTCTTACCAGTTGAGCAACACACCAGCAGTCAGTCAATTTATGTTACAAAGTAAGTGTTCCCTTATGGCGGTCTGATTCTAATTCCTGCTACACTGGCAAATAAGCATTTAGGATAGAATGCACTGGCTGCCAAATCATTGCTACTTCACGGAACATGACACTATACTGGCACCGCAAGCAGATATGCCAGCACAAATCAGGGTGTTAAGCTATCACAAGTCACTGTTGATGAATCTACTTAAAACACACAATATGGCACAATATTTTTGATGCTCCTTGCTAGTTCCACTTCTTTACTATTAACTTTTATTTATTTAGGGCATCTATACCTCACCTTTCAACCGGACTTTTTCAAGATGGATTACAAAAACTAAGAAGCCACATTAAAAACACACACAAACACGCACACCCTGAAAATCATATTACAAGAAGGAATATGGAGTTGAAACCGTATCAACAGCAAATGTAGCAATGGGGGGGAAAGCAAACAAACAAAAGGCAGCAGAAATTAAATAGCACAACTTTACTGTTGTCAAAAATCCTTCAGTGGTGCCCGATCTGGCTGTAAGTGTCATTACATCACTGATGAAACATGTACAACGGTTTTTCTAAATTCTCTTCTCTTCTCTTCTCTTCTCTTCTCTTCTCTTCTTTCTTTATGCATCGACTGCCCCCCTTTTTATTCAATGCCTCCCAATTGCACATGAAGCTGAATCATTTCAGTGACCCCCCCTCCAGGGGGCGGTACTGCCAGTTTTGGGAAGCATTGATCAATAGGAAACATGAGAAGCAGATGGGAAGCAGCTGCAACAGCCACACTTTGTAGCATGTTGGCTGATTTCCTTTCTGTCCTTACCTGTGTGGACTTACCTGTCCTGGCATCACCAGTTATGGTAGGTGATGGGTCTCTCTTGGGTCTTTGCTTCTGGAGTTTCACAGTGAACTCATAATGACATCCAGTGATTGGCAGGTGACAAGTTGGCCCATAGGGGTGGGAACTGCTGGGACAAAAAAACTTCCCCACCCCTGTCATAGAAGTTCCTTTCTCTTAACATGGCATTAGAAAGTGAGAGGGGGTGGAAGACATTGTACATGAAAAGTGATGCTGATGAGCAAAGGACGTATCCACCGTTTCTGACACTTGAGTCCACATTATCCATTTGCCTTCAAATGATGGGGGGGGGGGGGCGGAGCCCACAATAGTAAATAAAAAAAATCACTGGCAAACTGTGTTGGGTTTTCTTAATATTGAGGTGGTCAATGGTGATACTCAGAGGTGCGTGTGTTTGTAATTATAACCTGCATGGCAGCACATCTGTAAGCTCTTAACAATTCAACACACCTGTAGTATCCTAACAATTTAACTAATTAGCAGGGGGGAGTTTACCTGCTGCATTGAATGCAGCGATGTGATAAGGTAATTGATTATTTTGAAAAGTGTATTTAAGTTGACCAAATGCTTTGTATGGTACTGGCTGGTGTAAAATGGTGAGTTGCAGCTGTTTGATTATTATTTAAAATAAAGATAAGCAAAGATATTGCGGGAAAGTTTTTATTCCATCGCCCCATTCACTGCGGAAACTCGGTTGGCGAAGAAAGTCCAACAATCTGATTTTGGTTAGAACCCTTAATCAGATAACACTTTATTTTTATACAACTGAATTTAATTTAACATAGTAAAATTACAAGAGAAATGAGGGAGTCTATCATCTTAACAAATCATTTTTTGTGGTGCTGTTTTCTGCAGTTTAAGAATAAAGGAGGGCAAGGAGAACATCAAGGGCTACTCTAGTGGGACTGTCCTTCCCTGCTCTCCTTGGAACGATGGACTTCATCTGCCCTGTGCAAGGAACATCAGATCATGGAATCGTAGAGGTCCAACTCCCTGCAATGCAGGAATCTATGACAGATGGCCATCCAACCTCTGCTTAGAACCTCTGCTTAGAAAATCTCAAACAATGGAGAGTCCATTACCTCTCATGGGATGCTGTTCCATTTTCGAACAGCTCTTACTGCCAAAAAGTTCTTCCTGGTGTTTAGTTGGAATCTCCTTCTTTGTAACTTGAAGTCATTGGTTCAAGTCCTACCCTCCAGAGCTTGGTCCCTCCTCCACGTGACAGCCCTTGAGATATTTGAAGATGGATCTCATATCTCTTCTCACTCTCCCCTTTTCCAGGTTAAACATACCCAGCTCCTTCAAGCGTTCCTCATAAGGCTTGGTTTCCAGACCCTGGATCATCTTGGTTGCCCTCATCTGCCCACCTTCCAGCTTGTCAACAACCTTCTTAAATTGTGGTGCCAGGAATTGGCCACAGTATTCCAGGTGTGGTCTGACCAAGGCAGAATAGAGCAGAACTCTCTTATTTCCCTTGTCAGGTCCTGCTTTAATGGGGCAGGTGGTTTTGTTTTGCTTTGCAACCATGTGGCTTTTTGTTTATCTGTTGTGTTTTATAAATGTTGTTTTAAGGACTCTAGCAGAATATAAATCTACAAAATAAATAAACTCATTTAAAGTATGGTGCTAATCCAAGATACAAAAAAAAAAAAGGAAATTAATAACCACCCACATATATACTAGAGGTCTTCCAAAGACCTTTTACACTGAAACCTTTAAAAGGCAGTCCATTAAGAACTTTACAAGGAAAGTGCTCAAGGCTAGTTTAAACCATGATTGATATTACAGAAACATGGCATAAAAATAGATATTTTTTAAAAGCACATATGTAATAAAAACACCTTCAACATAAAAGGATACAATAAAGTAGCACAAGGGTATCAGGAAAATAATAATAATTCTATGTAGGGTAATTTATTTTTTTACTTGTTCTTTGCTTTGTTGAAAAGATATGAACTCTAACAACCCATGTTACACTCAATTTCAGGTAAAACATGTTAAAAGCCCACAGTAAAAATTTAATATGCAATACAGTTTTTGAGTCTATAACTCCTTAACAGTAATGTTTTTACCTTCAGGTTGTACATGTTAAAGAGTGTGGGCACTTTGAAAAGAATATAAATAAAGAAGAAAGGGGAACGATGAGAGTTTTCCAGAAATTCATTGCAACCAAGCAGAACTCAGGTGGTAGAGAGACTGATCAATGGTCAATCTTAGGTCAATAATTTATAGTGAGGCTGTGTGACGACCGGCAGGTCAACAGAAGTTTGGTCACAGTAGACAGCATTAAGCATTAGGCACGAGGGCCCAACTTGTTTCCCGTCAACCAGCACTACACGTGGACCATAGCATTAGGGATGCTATCAAAGCTCACCAGTCCCAGACCCAGAAACAAACTTCAGAGTCTCAGTTAACGCCAGTGGTGGCTGATGACCATTGGAAATGGCGGGGCAGAAGCAGACAAGTCAATGGCAGGTGGAGCCAGGCAGAACCAACTAATTCCAGTTTGTCCAGATCCTCTTCCCTGATGAGTTCTACAATGGCAACCCTGAGGCTAAGGAAGAGAAAGAGGACAATCAGTGCCAACCCCTTGACTGGTAAGTAAGAAGGCAAGAAGACATGGGCACAGGGCCGTCTTTACCCGGGGTGCAAGGGGTGCGGGGCACCCGGGCGCCGAATTCTGGGAGGGCGCCAGGCACCTGCTGTTGAAGCCGCCTAAGCTCTTAACTATCTACCTGTTATGAAATAATAAATAATTTTGATCAAGCTAGAAAAACAAAATACATATATACCTAGGTCCGTTTCCTTTAGGTGGTTTTTGCTATAAGCCATTTGGTTTAACTAGAAGCAGATAAAAATGCCAGATGCATTTACCTTTTTGTGTGTGATTATTACTAAATCTTATTGCTTGCCCCCCTCTTAAAAAAAATTCAGTGTCCTTGTTACCTAAAGCTTCTGCAGATTTTTATCTTCACTGGAGCCCATAATCAGTTGCATATCCTGACATATACCTAGGTATTACCGAAATGTATACCTACTGTTTCACTTAAGGACTTTCAATTTTGTGCGCTCATTTACCAAAGATGCACCATGCCAGCGGCGGGGCTTGTCATTCACAATGGTGGCGCTTGTCATTCACAATGGTGCTGTGCATGCAAAATTAACTGTTATATCAAAATTGGGGGGCACTGGGCAGATCTTTGCACCCCAGCAGCACATATGCTAAAGACAGCGCTGCACGGGCACTTCACATACATGCAGTGTTCTCTTCATTGTTGCGGGCCATTCCCTGCTGGCCCCTTTCTCTTGTGTTAACCCACAATCCCATCTTCATCTGACAGACTCCCTGGTCTGACCCTTTGGTTGGGGCGCAACTGTGCCACCCTCTCTTCCCCTAAGACCTTATACTTCCCCTGCAAATGGAAAGCAGCACAAAGCAACCCAGCCAATGGTGGCCAGATTCAAAAACTTTGCATGCAGAGGGTCCCAGAGTCAATCGCGGACATCTCCAAGCAGGGCTAGAACATACCTCTGTCAGAACCCTAGACAGCCAATGATGGTCAGTATAGATTTCCCTGGGCCAATGACCTGGTTCGGTATAATGCAGTTTCATATATTGGTATGAACATCCGTCTATTACTATTATTATTTTGTAAAATAATATTGAAATATTATACTTTTCTTTGCATTTTTTCTTTATTTTTTTCTTCTCTTTTTATTATTCTTTATGTATGGCTTGGTACTGATGTATTTATTTTGCAATAAAAATTCTTGAAAAAGAAAAAGAAAAAAAGAACATCAGTTGCAGGTATTTCCACCCCTGCTTCCCCTAACCCCTGCAGCAGATGGGGAGCTTAGCTAAGCAATGATAGAGGCACCACTGCTACAAAGCCATTGCAAAATCCCTTTGTGCCTTCCATTTTAAATGGGGGGAGGGAGATGGCCATTGTACAGGACCCCTACTTTGTCCTTGCATTGAATTTACTTTCCCCCCACTTACTAGAAATTTAGCAAAGCAAAGTAACATTTTTTTAAAAGAAAAGAAAAGAAGAAAGCAATGTTCTTATCTTCTCTTGCTCCTTTGATGGCATTGAACCTTGGAACAGTGCCGCAGACAGTGCCTTCGAATGCACATTTGTGTTGTGTAGGAGTGATGATTGAGTGCCCTTGAGGCACCTCAGACAATGTGCTGTCGCTTCTAGTCGCTACTCAGCAAGACTAATGCCATGCCTGTTATGACAAGAATGAGCCATTTTAAGGCACCACACCTCTGCCCCTAAACACATATTTTGTAAGTGGGATGAGCCTGGCAATAAAGGCTTCAGGTGTTGCTAAGTAGGAGCAATTTTTCCTATAAATACCAAGGAGCGAAAGGACTAAAATTCATAAACAAACAAGTCTCAGTGGGAGAGTTTCGTTTGTGTTCTGCTCCGGGAAACAGAAATGTTCTCCAGAATTTTCGTAACAGTTTAGGCCTCATTTTCGGACGACAGACAGAACGCAAAAACTATTGACTAGCCAGGTTAAGAAAGGCAAGGTTGCCAGCCTAAACCTGCCATCTGCTGTTAAGAGAAAGCAGATCACACCCTGACTGTGCTGTGCTCAAGTTTCCGAATCTCCCAAGAAGTTCCTTTCTCTTGAAAGAAAGAAAAAAAGCAAAAGCAGAAGCCCAAAGATGAAAACAAGCAGCCATTTATTAGAATAATTGACCAAAAAAAAAAAGTTTGTGTGCAGATAAGATAATCATTGACACCCTTTTCTTTAGGGAAGAAGGCAATGCAATACAAGCTGGCCCACCTCTGCAATTTGACAGCAATCCAAAAGGAGAAGAAAAAAATATTGTCTCGGTATGCTTCAGTATTGAAGCCCATGCCTTAATTTTGTATTTGTGCTGCAATATCTCATTCCACAGTTGGGGTGGAGAAGGGTTATGTGGTGCTATCATTTGCACCTCATTAGTCTTTCGGCTAGAGCTTTGAGAAAGCTGATATTCCCTCTAAATTTTTACAGATGCTTCTAGTTTACCACTTCATGGCTTCACCGTGCCAAAAGCCTTCCTGCCACTGAACTGCTAGCTGGCATGTAAGCAGAATTCAAAACCCCAGAAAAAAGCAGGTCTTTGTGGTGATTGCTTCTCTGATTCTAATGTGTTTAACACATACATTTAATAACACTTAGAATTCATATAGTTTGAACTATTCAGAGTCCTCAGTAGTCTTTACAACTTGCTTGTAAGGTAGGTCACTTTCACAACACCTTTACTGTAGATGGGTCTGTGCCTATAATTTAGTGGAGGTTGAAATATTTTGGCCTGGTTCAGATAAGTATTTGAGGTTCCATGAGCAGTGTTAGAAACTCAGACATATAAGCTAGGCACCAAATGGCTCCTTAAACCAGGGTTACAGTTGCCAAAACAGAATGCCCACTTGCCATTTTGGAGCACTGGTTCAAATGAGGCTGTGGACTCATTCACAAACACTAAATGCAACTTTTTAAAACTCTCCGCAAAAATGGCATTCAATGGGAAGCGGTGTTTCCTTGGAGCCACTTGTTATATAAATGACTACCCACAGTCACATTCAATCAACAGTAGAAGTGATTTGCCCACAGTCATGTTTTTCCCCTGTGCAATATAAATCGGTTGAGGTGGAGTACTCTGATTTAGGTTGACTCAGTATAATTAAATGCGCTTCAGATTGCCTTTCACAGAGTTACTCCTGATTTGTGGGTGCCTCCCACATTCAGGTTTTGGTCTTTCCCCTCCTCCCTCCCCCCTTTATATATCACCTTAAGTGGTTGAAGCCTTTCCCTCCTCAGATAATTCACCTCTTCCTTTGTTACTCTCCCCAATACAGAGTTCTCTTGTGTTTCCTTTTCCTTTTAGTTGTTTTGGGGTATTTTTCCAGAGTTCAGAGCAGGTGACACTGGTCTGTTCTTAATCTTCGGTGCTTTAGTCATGTTAGGGCTAATGACGAGGGACACAAATCCCTTGATGGAACTGAATGCATTCCAACCTTCCCCGACCCACTCAGATCAGTAATCCTCTGCAGCTGGATCTTACTTACTGCCATACACAGCTAATACATTTTTTAAAGGCTAGTCAGCAGTGACAAATGTAAACTGGACTGAACAGCTCTCTTCGCCTATTCTCTCCGCATGCCCCTGCCCCCGCCACCCTGCCACAAGTTTTCTTTCATAACGCTGAGACTTGCCATTTCAGTGATGGATATGGTCTGCCAGTAGTACCAAACTTTGCATTGTATAGCTTCGCTCTAAGTGACTGGAAGGTTTTTAAAAGCTTCTTTTGCTGTCAGACAATAACACGCACACGCGCGCACACAAAAAGTCATTCTTTACACATAACATTTCGCAACCAGGAAACCAATACTTCACTGGCTTATCACTACACTTCCAAGACTTCTGTTTATTTAGATATAGTGCACAAGGCACCCGTATAAACACAATTCTGGCAGGTGTTCTGAGCAAACATTATCCATTGTGTAGGTTAGAAACAACTGTTTTGCATCAGGACAAATCGGGTATTTGGAGCTAACTCACAATGGCAAGTCATTGAGGAAGGGAGGGAATCGATGACATGATATGATATGGTTGCAATCTTATAACACCAGTGTCAGAAACTCAGATATATAAACTAGGCGCCAGATTGTTCCTTAAAGGTTACAGTCACCAAAATGGAAAGTCTAGTTGCCATTTTTGGGAAAGATGTCGCCAATGTCTTATTTTTCAAATGATGGGCTGACTGTGATTGATTATCAGTTAAACATCTGGCTAGTTCAGAGGACAACCTTGAGCTAGGTTAAGAGCTTTGAGAATGTAAAGAAGAAAAGTCACTTGATCAAGGGACAGTCCACATATATATATATTGGCCTGTTCCTGCCTCTTTTTCTTAAAGGTAACACAGAGCATTCATAATGTAAGAATATTCTTCACAACTGTGAGCAGGGCAGTGGGATAGGGTAACTGAAGACAAGCTGCAACAATTAAGTATAACATTGCTCAATGCTCCTGCTCAGGCTGCACAGAAAAAGCATTTTGGTTCCTGAAATTCATTCTGATTGTGCAGAAAGTGTAACGGAAAGAATTATACAGGATGTAGTATTAGTTTGTGAAAAGACTCAAGAGCCAATGTTCCCCAGGCATGCACCACCAGATGGTGGAGATGTCAGGCGCTAGTTGCTAACAGGTCCAAAATGCGCCTGGCGCCTGGCTAATTTCGAACACTGCTAAACACCACCTTGGGTCACTTATTCATTTAGGCCTGTGGAAGCATTTGCAAACATGAGAACCTGTTGTGGGCACCACAAACAAATGACAACTAAGCACACACTGAAAGGTATTATATTGGCTACAATAAAATGCTTCTTTCAAGAGGTCACTGTGGGCACATGCCGGCCATGTTGGTCACCCCTGGTATGCACAGTTGCTTGGGAGTGAATTCTTTCATGCAATCTAGTGAACGTTAAATTCACCTAAAGCTACAACGCTGTGCCCACTTACCTTTGAGTAATCTGGATGTGGGTTTTCTAGAAAAGGAACTGAAATCAAGAGTAATGACCACAGTTCTACAGTGGTGTGGCAATGGTTTGCAATAGTATCAAGTCTGGAATGAGATCAGAAATGCTTCAGTTGATCTAAGGCAGGCAAAGGCAAACTCGGCCCTCCAGATGTTTTGGGACTACAATTCCCATCACCCCTGACCACTGGTCCTGTTAGCTAGGGATCATGGGAGTTGTAGCCCCAAAACATCTGGAGGGCCGAGTTTGCCTATGCCTGATCTAAAGCTACAATATTGCACATCCAAGATGGCACATCCAAGGCCATCTGAATCCTACAGTTAACGTGAACATTTCTTTTAGCAGATTAAACCAATGCAATCATTTTCATTCCATTTGTCTAAAGACAGAAGCGGGAGGGTAGGATTTCCACTGACAGCTTATTAGGAGCAACCCAATAATCACAGGCAGGTTTCCTCTACAGTAAATCTTGGCTGGATTCAAGAGAACACACTTCTTGGTAAATATGTTGAGATTCTCATTAGGGATTGAGAAGTATTCTCAGATGTTAAATGCCGGAGACTGGATTTGATGGGATATAAATCTAAATCACGGATTGTCAGTATTGCTCGTTTGCAATCTTCCATTAGCCCCAGAAAGCATGGCCGATAGTCAGAAATTATGGAAGCTGTAGCCCAACAACATCTGGATCACAAAACACTGGGTCCAGTTTATTGAGGCTGCAAAAAAAAATGTTTAACAAAATCCAGTATAACAAAAAGTATTTCTGCTTATTCTTTGTTGGAGGATAACATCAATAAACAGTAAATTAAAGTGATACTGCTAATTAGGTGTGAATATAACTAGCACAATGCTGATTACAGTACATTTCATTATGTTTAATTGCAGCAAAGTTACATTTGGTGAGGGGAACATAATTTTACAACTATCCTCAGCATTGCTGCTTTACATTCAACCTCTGTATATTACACACTAAAGCATTGCACCTAGGCCTTGAAGAAGAAGAAGAAGCCGCCACCCTGGGCGGCTTCCAACAAAATATTAAAAGACCAAAACACCCTCAGACTTCCCAATACAGGGCTGTCTTCAGATGTCTTCTAAACGTTGTAGTTATTTATCTCCTGGACATCTGATGGGAGGGCATTCCATGGGGAGGGTGCCACTACTGAGAAGGCCCTCTGCCTTGTTCCCTGTAACCTCACTTCTTGCAGGGAGGGAACTGCCAGAAGGCCCTCAGAGCCTGAATGAAAATAATTTGTAGACAGTGACAAGTTGGGCCCCTGTAAATTAAAAGCACATCTAATTTTGTGCCCTCCTTAAAACAAGAAATTCAAGAAAGCCTTAGTGACCAGTCTCAGTAGTATTGAAGAATGCATGAATGAAAGGGAACAGAAGCCAAGCAAAATCTGAAATGGTTAAAAAAAGAACTTTTTAAAAAGAACATTCTGTTGGATTGCATTGGATTTTGCTGTCAGCAACCTTTACTACATTTAAAAGCAGCCAAGTTTTGTACGGTTGACCAATGCCAGTGAGTAACGTTGCTGATTTTCTACTATCCAAAATAGATGTCCACAGTGCTATTTTTCTAGAAAAAGAGGTGCTAGAACTCCCCATGAACACCTCCTTTGTTCTCTTATAATGGCACTGGCGCCCACCTGAGAGGTGCCTGAACTTAGATGTTGGTGCATGTCAGGGAGTCTTGTATATTGGAGGGAGCAGAGAATGGGACTGTGACTGGGATTTGATGATATGAGACTGTTTGCTAAGGTTTTTATGTTGTTTTTAATGCTGCTCTGTTAGTTTTAGATTTTTGAAATTTGGTAGCCACCATTATAGCAGTCAGCTGTTGAAAAGCTACAGAGAAAACACACACACAGAGAGAGAGAGAGAGAGAGAGAGAGAGAATATTTTTCTCTTAGAATCTATTTTTATTTGAGAGGCACAGTATAGTTAAATACAGCAGGCTTGATAAAGAAAATCAGATCACAGTTTGCTAATTCATTTAATCCTGTTTTTAAAACTGAGGGGAAGTGTTTAATTACAAAAAGAATGTTATAAGAAACAAACAAAAAACCCTAGAATTTTTTCCAACTAGACTCAAATGTTTCAAAGACATTTGGGTGCCAGGAGGCTGGAGGTAATAAGAGATTAGCAGTGCCTTTATCTGCCCGAGCTGCAACAAAACATGTCTCTCCTGCACAGTGGTACCTCGGGTTAAGAACTTAATTCATTCTGGAGGTCCATTCTTAACCTAAAACTGTTCTTAACCTGAGGTACCACTTTCGCTAATGGGGCCTCTCGCTGCCGCTGCCGCTGCCCGCCGCCGCGCATTTTCTGTTCTCATCCTGAAGTAAAGTTCTTAACCCAAGGTACTATTTCCAGGTTAGAAGAGTCTGTAACCCGAAGTGTTGTAACCCAAGGTACCACTGTATTGGTCTCTACAGCTGCAACACTCCTACAGTTTGATTTCACCTCCAAAGGCACATTCTTCCAAAGTCTCCCAAGACTGACAGATGCCAATTTATGCAGAAGTAATCCCCATTTAGTTCTATGGAGCTTACTCCAAGTAAATGTGCTGAAGAACTGGCTAAATGCCTCACAGCAATGAAAGGGGAAATATCACAAAATCTTTTCTCCTCAAATTACTGTGCCAGTGTCACGAATTTGTGACAAAAGTACCGTTTTCCATCACCCTTACTTGCCGCTGCTGCTTCTCGGTTCCCACCTAGAATTTTTAAGGTGTTGTTTTCACTGGTGCTGGACCAAATGTTCTCAAGATGAGGGAGTTCAAGAAGTGAAACTTTCCACCAATTTGGGAGGCTAGTTCAAATTAGGATGGAGGCAAACTCATCACCCGGTGTCCTCAACCATGAGAGATTGTTTTCCTTCCTCAAAACATTCGGGAAGGGGAAGTTTTTATTTCCTACAAGTGTGAAGTTGCAGCTCTTTGGCTGCATTTATTGATTGATTGATTGATTGATTGATTGATTGATTGTATTCAACAGGCTGCTCTTCAGTCCTGATGGCTGATGAAGAAGGAGGACAGGCAGCAGCAAAGGAAGTACACATCTGTGTGCGTGCACACACAGACACACACACCCATATTCCATTGCCTGACCACCACCACCCACCTGTAAAGATTCTGATCCTATCAGCCAAGGATAGGATCAGAATCCTATCTCCATTACTGACAGAAGAAAAAGCAGAGCCTGCCAGGGAGATGGCATATTTTAGGAACGTTGAACCGCAACCAGATGATAGAACATTAGCCAAACATGTTCACACTTCCTGATATTAATAAGGAAGCAGGCAGCTGCATTTTGCACCAGATTTTCATTGATGAGTCAACTGAAGAACTTACAAAAGTGTGGATCAGCACAGCAGGATCCCTGCTGTTCAGGAAAAGGCAGTTGGCACAATAAATGCAATTGGTGGTAAGTAGCTCCAAGGACCACTCGTGTCTGACTCTTAGTGACCCCATGGACCAAAGCACACCAGGACCACTGCTACTTGCTTATAAAAAAAGCAATTCTAGGTTCAGAAGCCCTATTCAGAGAGGGTAATCACAACTCCATCAATCAGAGATGAACTAGCCACTCCAGTGTAATGGGCTTCCCATGACATGAACCATGAGCACATTCCCTTACCAAAAGCGAAGTACACATAATATTTCTGCATTGTTTTCTATAAGCTCACTCGGTTATTTTTTGTTTGGTAAATAAAGCACTGACATTAGGCATGAGGCTTATCAGTCATGGAGGAGATTTGATTTTTCCCAAAATACACAAATTCTTCACATGCAAAAATAGATAAGGCTACTAAGAAGCAAACTTTCTCCTTGTATCTTTTTAGCAGAACTAGATCAAAGAGAACTGGGGTTTCTACATTAATCAAATCTATTTTAAAACAACAACAACCTAGCAGCTAGTGCTTTCTCTTAATCCACAATAAAACTGCTTATGTAAACAAAGGGAATAACTGTAACAGGCATAAGAACATGTATGATTCCAAGACACTACAAATGCAAATATTTGCATAAGTCCATCACCACCCAAAAAAGCTTATAACACATTTTTTGTGTTTATGTATTGCATAAACTAAGATTCAAGAAGGGGGTCGATCTTGATTCAAAGCTGTAGCTTACTTTGATTCCCATCCCCCAATCCATTTATTTTTCTTCAACCATTCCAGCATCATGCAATAAATTCAAAAGCTATATGGATGCAACATTTTTGTTTTAAGTATGTCCAAGTCTTGTGGCACCTTACAGACTAACAAACTGATTAAGCCATGATGTTTAATTCACAAAAGTTTACGCCATGATAAATGTGTTAAGTCTTTAAAAGGTGCCATAAGACTTTTCAGTTGTTTTTGCTGCAACAAAGACTCACAAAAATACCCCTCTGGAAGATGAATATCATCAGAAGCTTCTGGAAAAAAGGGCTCTGAAGTTCCCAGTGACAGGACTTGTGTGAAATGAGCACTGTTTCTTTAAACTGAGTGACCCGCTGCATTTAAGTAGTCTTTAGCCAAGGAAAAGTTCTGAAACACAACTCTCAGGAGCAAACATTTTCTACATGTGAAGTAAACTCTGTTGAAAGACAGCAGACTAGGGTCCCACCAGTAAAAACAGGAAAATTTTCAGCCACTGACAGCTCTCACTACAGACAGACACTTACACACACAAAGGCAGGGGGGGAAACCCTCCAAGTGTCATAGACTGACTTTATTAAACCATATGCTCATTGCCCTGTGAAGAAAGCGAGGTCACTAATTAGTTCATTCTGCGAAAGAAGCCCCTCCTGATCCCGTTG